GGGTGTCGGCAACGCACGCACCTATGATGAAATTAAAACCCACTGCCAGGAAACAGGTGCCAAGATCATTAAGTCGCGTTTTGTCTTCACTGACAAGGTTGATGTTGACGACCAGCACATTGTGCGTGCTCGCCTTGTTGCAAAAGACTTTGCTTTCAATCAACCATCCGCGCTGGGCATTGCGAGCCAGACTGCTTCTGTGGAGGCCTTCAATGCTTTCATCTGCCGTGTTGTCCAGGATACGCTTGTCCTCTGGGGACTTGATGTTTCGACTGCCTTCTTGTATGCCAAGTTGGTTCTTGATACCGTGCTTGAGTTGCCGGGATGTTTTCAGAACCTTGACGGCTCTAAGTGACTTCATCACTTGTGATTATCACCTTATTTCCTTTTTCACAACAACCGTTGTCGTGTTACGACAAGGTTGAACATGGTGATTTTCATGAGATTTCCGTCTTTTCACGATTTGCTCTTTTACTTTCACGCGTGAGCATTGAGAAACATGGGCATTTGAATGACGATCCGAATGCAAGGTTTCTTGCTCAAGTGGGCAGGAAAAATTCTTTTTAGGGGGGGCTGGGTCGCTCTCGGGCTGTCGGCTCAATGGCTGTCTCTGACCGCGTGAGTGCTTCTTTTCCAGAGAGTGACGATGCCACCCTTACAGGCGACGACGATGAAATGGTGGAGGTTCTCATTGAACCGGAGCCACAGGCGCCGGAGCCTGCTGCCCTCGCAACTCTTCGTGATCTTCAGGACCTCCAGGTCCAAGTGGGTGCCAAAGTGGCGCCGGTGGCCGATGATGTGGCTGGCCTCATCTTCCAGGTCGGTGAGCTTCAAGCACAGGTACGTACTTTGAAGACCGATGTTCTGTCTCGCCTTGATAGCCTGGCTGAGAGAATGACTGAGCTCGAGGAGGCGATGGCCGAAGTAGCCACTGCCATCACCCGTCTTGCTGTCACAAGTGTGCCGCCTGTATCTCGCTCTGACGGCAGCTGCTAGGCCCTGCTTTTCTTTAGGTGGCCTCGTTTTGGTGACGTCTTCCAGGGAGACTTGCCTCCGTGGGCTGTCGATGACCGACGCCGTGGCACTTAGGACTTTTGTGAGCTCTGCAGTTGCATTGCATTTTGGCTTTATTTTCGACAATGCTGCAGTGCCAACCTGGATGAAGATTCTGGGACCAGTTTTGCTTCGGTACGCGCCGGCGATGCCCGGCTCCAGGACTTCCGCTTGTGCGCTGCTTTGTGCACTTGCTCCAAGCGCCGTTTCAGTCATGTGCTCACAGTTGTCGACAACTTCAGTTGCGCGAAACTCAGCATGTCTTGCTCTGCGGTGAACATAGCATCGGCGCCTGGTTTGCAGATCTCCTGACATAGCAGCTGGCGATGCCCAGCAGGATCCTGCATCACTCAGCTGTGAGTAAAACGGCATTCTTGCAGAGTGACGTGCGTCAGCTGGGAGCCTTTCTGTGCGAGAGCTTCGTAGGGCTGCGACTGTGTGAGTTGCGTTCAGCCTCGGAGCTTACTTTTTTGAGTTTGAGCCGTGCCTGCATCTGGCTGCGAGCACTTTTAGGGCATTGCAGGGCACAGGTCCGTTCATTTTAGGACATGGACACGTCAGCCCCTGAGAGTTCCTCTGACTGTGGGGCAGATCTCAGCAATCTGCCTCCTGATGACGAGCCGGCTGCTGGGGCTTCAGAGCGAGCTAGCACTGATGATACTTTCTTGCTGCTCTCTGACCATGTGTGGGAGTTAGAGCAGCGTGTGACTGCTCTGGAACAACGCCTGATTGCAGCTGATCCTGTGCCCAGAGAAACTCTTCGACGCGAGATCACAGGGATCTCTCGGGCCTTTTTCGGGCTTGCCGATCGGGTCTCGAGCCTGGAGCTCCGTATCACTGAGCTGGTCAGGTCGCTTCGAAATTGCTTTGCAGGACTAGACCGATAATCTCGGCTCTGTCCTGTCGCCAGGCAATTACAGTGTCAGGCCTCACGGACTTTACACGTCGACTTGAGAATGCTGCGGCTCAGATCGTGGCTCGCTCAGCCGTGGCAAAACACTCAACTTGCTGCGCGTTGTGCAACATGTGTCGCATGTTTCAGTGCCTTGCGGTGTGGTCCCCCACAACTGGTCTGTGCACTTTAACTTCGACCGGCATGCCACTCACATGTCATAGCGCGCTGTCTGTGCCGCTGATCTTTCAGTTTTCGCAAGGACCCTACACTCCAATGCTTCAGGGGAACTGGCACGGGACCTCAGCCCCTCGAGGTTGCTGCGCCACATTTGCTGTCTCCGCAGTGACTGTGAGTCTCTGGGGCACAGAGTTGACAACCTCTGCTTGGGACGCACTCATTTGATGAATACCTTGCTGGCTAGCCAGGAGTCCAGTTCTCCTTTTTCTGCGATTTCCGAGTTTGTTTTGGATACCAGGGCCTCCCTCAGGACTCTGCATTCACGTCTTGATGAGCTCACACGTGTGACCGCCGAGACTGCGATGAGTACAGCTTTTCGTCTTGATCGTTTGGAGGCCGCTTTAGCCCCCACTCTGTGCCCACACGATGGGTCCAGCTGAATCACCTTACTTTCGAAGCCGCTCGTGTCTGCTGATGGCAAAATTACGCTGCATTGCTGTGGCCGCAACTTGTCGTGCCTGTGCTGGTGACCTTAGTGCTGCTTCTTTGCAGACGAGCGTCGCTGACTATGGCCTGTCACGTAGTTTTGGCTGCTAGCCGGCTACTTGCTTCTGCTGCTGTAGCACGTCCGCTGACTTGCTCCTGTGCTTGCACTTGCATGGCCGAGAGTGCTGGCCTGCGCGTCCTGTGACCTTCGGGTGCAGTGGACTCGCTGCGCTCACGACTCGAGCACAATGCAGGGGGCGAGTAACGGGTGCTCGAGCGATCAGGGCCCAAGGATAGACTTCGAAGCTTTGCTGAGTGCGGCTGTGGATACCTGTGCTAGCGATGCTAGACAGCCCGCGGAATTGCCCTGGGAGCACGGTGTGTTCAGGAGCATCTTCGAGCCTAGCGATGTGGTGGGCTGGGAAGACACTTTTATGCTGCCTGACCTCCCTGTACCAGACGATCCCGAGGAAATTCTCCCACCTTCGGAAAAGAAGAGGCGTCTTAGAGAAAGTGGCCTCGTTCCTGGAGTGTGTTTTTCGGTGGTACGTAAAAGCCACGGCATATCTTGGCAAGATCAGCGCGACAAGGACCACGACAAGGCCATGGCTCGATGGACCTTTGTTATCTTGAGGTGGGCCGATCTTCGCCCGGACCTCTTGATCTGCAAGAGTCTGCTTGAGTGTGCTACCGCAGAAGAACGTACGGAAGTTCTTCGGGATTGGTTGCATCCAAAAGCTCCGAGTACGCTGCTTAAGCGTGTTAACTCTCTGCTTCGTTTTCACAAAAGTGAGGGATGGTCCGACGAGACTTTTCCGTATGAAGAGGGCAATGTTTACAAGCACATGGTTGCAGCCAGAGCTGGCGGAGCGAAGCCAGCACAGATGCGTGCGCTTCGTGAGGCGTTGATCTTTGTTCGACATGTCTTCTCAGTTGAGGAGATTGAGAACGTGATATCCAGCAGGCGGTGTCTTGGTGCAGCATCAAGGGGTGCACGGCGTAAGGCGCGCCAGAGGGCAGACCCTTTGACCTTGAAGAACTTGAGGCTGCTCCATTCCATGTTGGGGGACAAGAGTGTCCCCGCTTGGGATCGAGTTTTCGCGGGGGCAGCTTTGTGCTGCGCGTACATGCGATCCCGTTGGTCCGACTTTCAGCACCCTATCTCGTGTGGGCTGGAATACGGGGCTGATGGTGAGAGACTCTTCCTGGAATTTACTTGTGAGGATTACAAAACAGTCAACTCTAAATTCTTTGCGGGTGCACCGCTTCGGATGATCGCTCCTGGACGAGGTATCGCTGGGCCAAACTGGCTCGATTTGTGGCACGAGGCTCGAATGGAGGTGGGACTTACAGAGTTCGTTCCACCCTTGCCTACGCCAGGCCCTGCGGGAGAACCTACCGGTGCATCCGTGAGCACTGAGGAGATGTCTTTATGGCTTCAGAAGATCTTCGTCGACCGTGGATCACTCAGAACATCTGGCCACACGCTGAAAAGGACTTTCCTTACCATGGCGACAAAGCGTGGCGTTGAACACTTGGACCGGTTGGTTCTGGGTGGACATGCAAACTCGGCAGGGATGGCTGACACTTATGGCGATGACGAGTTGGCCCGGCCCCTCCGCCTGCTCATGGCCTTGATCTCAGAGATCCGAGAGGGTGTCTTTGATCCAGATGCTGGTCGTGCGGGTTATTTGCGTGGGAGTGGCTTGGAGGAGCTTCGATTGGGTTTCGCCGCCCAGACGGATGATCGCCACCCTCCCTCTGCTGAGTCCTGGGAGAGGGTGACGGGTGACGACGACATGTTTGGCTTGGTAGACGCGCTAGATAAGGGAGCACCGAGCCAGCAAGACGTCTTCTTTCCGGGCGATGATGACGCGAACCTTATGGGGCAGGATTCTGCTGATGAGCCACCCGAGGCTGAGGTGGGTGACGGCGGTGTGTCATCTTTGGGCGCAGAAGATGACAAACTTGTCGGCAAGGATTCCGATTCTTCTAGTTCGAGTGGATCAAGTGATTCAAGTGATAGCTCCGGAAGCGATGACGAACCGGCCCGGATTATGCCGCCGCCGGAGCCTGCGGAAGGCACAACATTTTTACAGCATCAGAGAACTCGCTTGCTGCACATGATTGCTGACAACAACCGCCGCGTACTTATGTGTGGGCGGATGGTTAGCGACTTGTACAGTCTTCCACAGCGAATCAGGTTTGACTCATCAGTGTGTCGCAACTGCAAGAAGGCAGTGGCGGACAGTCACTAGATCGCCTTGCGGGGCCGAGCGAGATGCTTGTGTGTTGGGGGTCATCTGGTGTGCCGGTCATGTTACGTGAGCGGAACACAGCCCTGACTTCTCAGCTGACTTGGTGCTCGAGCCGCCTTTAGGGGGGCGACATGTCGCTGGTTGACAGTGAGGCTTCATTTCGGCAGCGATGTCAAGACGTCGGCGGGGGTGCGATTCACACCGCACTGTCTGACCAAGGGATCACTTCCTTTGCCTCGCTTGCATATTCATGTGGCACGCCTCAGGATCGACCCACACAGGCGGAAATGGACGCATTTGCGGTAAAGATCTTGGGGGCTGCTCCCCGTTTGGGGGATGTGTCTATCTTGAAGCGATTGATGTTTGAGTCCTCCACATATGTCATAGCTCAGTTGCGTCAAGCTGTGCAAGGGGACTCTGCCGAACAGCCTCGAAAGCTTCCACTTGCTGAGAAACAGGCCAGGGCCGAAGATCAGCGCCGTCGGCTTAGTGGAGTGCATATAGAGCGTGATTTGGTCCCTTCCCATGCTCTGGTGGACCTCTGTTGTCACATGCATGATGTGGGCATCACTTGGATATCGCCAGGCAAATGCACTAGCCGCGAATCAGAAATTCAGCTTTCAACGAAGGACCAAAGCAAAATCTTTCGACTTGAGGACAACTCCTTGAAGGTCGGAAGTGAACAGCCCAAGGACATTGCTTCTTATGATTCGCCGATCAAGTTGCAGTGGTGCCTTCAGCGCCGCGGTCTGGCCTTGGACCAGGCTAAGGTACTGACGTGGGCCCAGCATGAGCGTTGGGTTCACTGCTTGCTTCACGCACTGACTAAGGAGTGCCCTCCAGGGTTCCACAAGCCTGATATGAACCGCATTGTGCAGGCCGATCGTGAAGCCTGGTTGATCATGGCGTCCGAAGTGCCATCGCTTAAGCCCAGTACCGCTGGCGAGTACCCTCTGGGTAAGGCTTTGGATGCTTTGCGGACAGACCCTCGGATCACCATGTACTTGATGGCTACCTGGGGCCGTGCGCCGGATGTTAAGGTTCAGGACCCTGATCAAGGCCCCCCTGCCAAACCAGGTGAAGGACTGTCCCGAGCCGCCAAGCGCCGTCGCCGTGCAAAAGAGGCGGCTACCGCTGCCAAGCATACGACACCAGGACGGAGTACAGGTGCCCAGGCTACTGCTGCACAGGCTACAAAGGCACGCACCATGCCGGCTGAACTTAAGAATGCTCACCAGAAGACCGAGGACGGCAAGCCCATCTGCTGGGACCATAACTGTGCCGGCTGCAAGGCCAAGACTGAGGGAGACCCACCGCGCTGCCCTCGGGGTGTCCATGTTTGTGCTTACTGTCGCCGTGTGGGCCACTCCTTCCGTAATTGCCGAGCTCGCACTTGGAAGGGATCCGGCAAGGGTAAATCCGAGTGACAAACAGCTCTCGACACCTCAGCTCCGCCTGTTGAGGCGGCTGCCATTTCTGGCTATGGCCCACACTCAGTGGGCTTTCATTTTCCACCTGCTGCCACTTCTGAGGTTGCCGACGTGTTGGCACCCGCGGAGGCGATAGCATTGCAATGCCTACAGGCCGGTTTTGCTAGTCACGACGATTTTCGGAGCTTGATCGCTTTGCTCCCTGCAGACACTGCCGGTGCCCCGTCAGAAGAATCTGTGGACCCGACAGCTCCCAAATCTTTCACATCCGGTGCATATGTCCATCAAGCCAAAGCCGGACTGCGCTCTAATTTTCACGCCTTTCCTTTCAGTACCATGCTTTTGGCCGCCGTCTTGTCGGCGTCTTTTGGCTCTCGCTGCTTCTCGTCTGTTGGACTTTTCTTGAATTTAAAGGCGCCTCTGCACAACGACGCCAACAACGATCATGCCCATCCCAACCTGATCTTGCCTGCCTCTGTTTTCCACAAAGGCCAGATTTGGGTTGAGGGTAAAGGCGAGTGTCCGTGCCCCGACCCCGACGTGCCGCGTCTGGGCTACTTGCTGCCTGTTGCTGACGGCCCACAGTTGCTTCCTTCAGAGAGGCTGCACGCAACTTGTGATTGGGACGGTACTCGCTTGTTGATTGTTGGATTCTGCATTCGTGACACTGGCCTCCTGTCCGAGGCACATCGTGTTCGACTTCTTGATGCTCGTTTCCTCCTGCCTCAAGTTGATTCCGGATCGGCTTCAGACGCTGTGCTCCCCGTGCCACCGCACAAGCGGCCCAAGGTTGCCTACCGACCCCTAGTTGGCCCTAAACCCGCCGCCTGCCCCTCCCTAAAACCTCTAGGTTCGCCTGACGCCGGACCATCCACCAGTGCATCTGCTTCCACGCATACTGGCTTGCAGGAGGCCTTTCCGCAACGGGCCACACCGCTAGTTATCGAGGTCTTTGCCGGCACGGCTCGGCTCAGCACTGCCTGTCAGAAGCTGGGTTTCAGAACGCTTGCAATCGATAAATCCACAGCACGTGGACGCTTCCCCATACAACGTCTTGACCTCACCGATGCTGACGACCTTTGCATTCTTCTGGATATCATCCGTCTTGAGGCGGCCAATATTGTCTGGATCCATTGTGCGCCGCCATGTGGCAACGCGTCTGCGGCGCGCTCAAGACCCATTCCAGAATTGACTGCTGCTGGTGTTCGGGTGCCGCAACCTTTGCGCAGCACTTCCGAACCACAAGGACTCTCCACTTTGACTGGCGCAGATCTTGAACGGGTCAAGAAGGCCAATATGCTCTACCGTGCCGTCGGGCAAATTGCTGACCTGGCTCGACAATTGAACATCTTCGTCACCGTGGAAAACCCACGCAACTCTTTGGCTTGGTTGTGCGATGGCCTGGACGAGCTGTTCCGCTCACCACATCACACCGTGGTCTACGATGCCTGCATGCATGGTGGCACACGTGACAAAACCACCCTGTTGTGGTGCTCTGCCGATTGGTTTCAGCCTCTCGCTCTCCGATGTTCACGTGACCACCAGCACGCTTCTTGGAAACCTCGTTTGCAGCCACATGCTACCTCTTTCCCGACTGCCGATGAGGCTGCATATCCAGTGCTGCTTTGTGAACGAATGGCCCACATCATTGCCGCACGTGCTGGGGGACTGGCGCTTGCTGCGCCCGACCCGCGCCCTTTTTCCCAGGTATACTTGCAGCGACAGCCTCGCTTTGCACGACCATTGGTTGCCTGCTATTCTGGACGTGATGACTGGGCCATCCCTGTTCGATCCGATGATCTCACCTCCACGCTGCTGGCTTGCTACCCAAAGGGAGCGCGCATTATTCAACGCAAACTGGTATCCTTGGGTATGGTGCGGGTTTGCGTGCCTTCCAAATGCACAGGCATCGACCTGTCGTCGTTGCATTCCAAATACCCCCAACGGGTGAAGATCGCGCTGATTGTATTGAGGAGGACCACCTCAAGCATGACGAGACAGTTGCGATAACAGGTTTCGTTGCTGCAGACGATCCGTGCTCCGAGCATGCGGAGATTGTTTCTGTTGGAATACCCAAAGAACCTTGCGACTTTGTGGCGGATGCCGTGAAGGCTGGACATCCTAGGAATGCTTTGAACGCGAGCCGGGAAGGACCTTCCTCCAAAGTTGCAGATGCCATCCTAATGGATTTCGAACGGAGGGAGCGGCTTGCCTCAAAAACCAAGGATCGTTGGAGTCAGATTGCGGCTACGACTAAGCCCTTGAATCACAACATGTTGAAGCACAAGCCGGACTACATTGTGACCGCGTTAGGGGATAAGAACCTTTTGGCCTGGAAAAGTATTCTTGGTGACAATGGCTTCCCGGACCAACAACTCTGGTCCGACCTGCGCGATGGACTTAGGCTGACTGGCTGGATGCGGGACACTGGAATCTCCGACAAGAAAGTCCGTCCCCCGCAAACATCGCTGGAGCACCTGCTAAGTCAATCCCAGTACCAAACACCGTTGACCTTGAAAAGGCTACAGAAGACTGTTGTTGACATCACGGCACGCAAGGCGTGGGCTGAAACGGTGGAGGAAGAGAAGAAGGGATGGATCTTTCGGGATGAAAGTGCAAATCTTGATGACATAGTCTTGGCCCATCGTTTCGGCTTGCAACAGAAGGACAAAGTTCGCGTGATCGACAACGGCAAGGAGTGTGGCCTCAACTTGGCGTGTGGGCTACCAGAGAAGTTCACCTTGCATGGAGTGGACGTGCTTGCTGGAGTTTTCATTGAGTTGCTCAACCGCCCTGAAGCTGCCGGCAAAAGGATCAAAGGGAAAACCATTGATCTTGTCTCTGCGTACAAATTCTATCCAATCCACCCTCAAGACAGGCGTCACTTGAGGATCGGGGTCTATGACACCGACTCTGGCATGGTCAGGATTTTGGAACCAACGTTCTTCCTTTCGGTGCCACCGGAAGTGTGGCGGGTTTCCTGCGAGTTTCGGCGGCGATTTGGCATACGGGCATCCAGGACCTTGGCCTGGGATGGTGCGCCTACTTTGACGATTTTCCTTTGATGGCCCTTGAAGGTCATGAAGACCAGGTTGGAGGATTGGCTGGAGAAGTGTTCGACGCACTGGGGATCCAATACGCAAAGGAGGGTAAGAAGGCCACTGACTTCGATTACACCTTTGCCGCCCTGGGATTGCAGTATGACTTGACGAGATTCAATGAGGGGGTGGTCATCATTCGGCATACGGAAGCACGTACTGCTGAGCTGGTGGAGACTCTCGAGGGAATCTTACGTGATGCTGTACTCCGACCTAAGGATGCGGAAGTTTTGAGGGGAAGGATGCACTGGTTTACTTCGTATCTTTTCGGTCGTGCGCCGTGTGAGGCGATGAGACAGATATCCTTGAGGGCACAATGTATGGACTCGTGCACAAGGCTCACTGACGACTTGACTGAAGCGATTCAAACTTTGCTCCGCTACGTGGTGGATTCCAGGCCATTGGAGCTGAGGCAAACGACGGGGCGTGAGCTGTATGTTTTTACAGATGGCTCGTATGAGCCCACGGCTGAGAAGCGAGCCGGCATCGGTGGCGTCCTCTATGACAGCGCTGGCACGCCGTTGTCGTTCTTCTCTGCACAGGTGAACGAGGACGATCTGCGGGCTCTTGAGGAAACTTCTGATCATCCGATATATGAGGTTGAGCTGTATGCCGCATTGGTTGCAGTTGAGCTTTGGGGACCCTTATTAGAGGATTCCTTTTCCGTTTTTTACCTTGATAATGAAGCCGCTCAGTCAGCACTCATCGCGGGCCGTTCGGGCACGGATCATGGAAGGAAGCTGGTCCAACGTTTCCTGGATGCTGAACACAGGTGGCGGGCGAGGCCATGGTTCGGGCGAGTCCCGACCCACTCGAATCCAGCGGACGAGCCAAGCCGCGACTGCTGCAAAAGGCTCTTGAATCAAGGCGCTCAGCAGATGCAGACTAGTGGTGAGAGGCTGCTTGTTTGAAGGAACGGCTACATTTGCGCACGGTGCTGGGGGTATGATCGGGTGCGCAAGTTCTCGACTTATCTCATCGACGCATGTGTCTTGCATTGGATGCTTGACCTTGGGGCCGATGGAGATATCAAACTTTGATCGTTTCGACCCCACGGCATCGCGCAATATCATCCTAGCAAAACGAAGGCTGCTGAGCGAGTGACTGCGATCTTATTTCTTATTTCGTTCTCTGAAATATATTGGAGTGACGTGAAGAGGAATATTCATGATATCGTCCATGTGTTTGTGGAACAGGAAATAAGTGACTTCATCACTTGTGATTATCACCTTATTTCCTTTTTCACAACAACCGTTGTCGTGTTACGACAAGGTTGAACATGGTGATTTTCATGAGATTTCCGTCTTTTCACGATTTGCTCTTTTACTTTCACGCATGAGCATTGAGAAACATGGGCATTTGAATGACGATCCGAATGCAAGGTTTCTTGCTCAAGTGGGCAGGAAAAATTCTTTTTACCCACCCGCCCGCCCGGGGTATGATCGGGTGCGCAAGTTCTCGACTTATCTCATCGACACATGTGTCTTGCATTGGATGCTTGACCTTGGGGCCGATGGAGATATCAAACTTTGATCGTTTCGACCCCACGGCATCGCGCAATATCATCCTAGCAAAACGAAGGCTGCTGAGCGAGTGACTGCGATCTTATTTCTTATTTCGTTCTCTGAAATATATTGGAGTGACGTGAAGAGGAATATTCATGATATCGTCCATGTGTTTGTGGAACAGGAAATAAGGTTTATGTCATCCTGGAGAAGGCCATATATGGCTTGAGATCGGCAGGCCTTTCATGGCAGAAGCACCTTGCTGGACTTCTTGCTGAGTTGGGGTTGTTTCCTTCGCTTATAGAACCTACGTTGTACAAAGGGTATTGGAGAGACATCCTTGTGCTTTGTCTTGTGTACGTCGACGACATCTTGCTAGCCACAAGAACCAAAGAGGCAAACCAACAGCTTCTAGACTTTCTCATGGGCCGTCTTAAGGTCAAGCTGACCGGACGCTTGGATGAGGACGGCAGGATTGGATTCCTAGGTCGTGAGATAATCAAGCGTGGCCATGAGATCTTGTTGGCTGTGAAGAAAGAATACGTCGATTCGATCTTTGAGGCTTTTGGTTGGAACCAAGAGAGCCGCAGGAAGATGAAGCCCTGCACCGCTCCACCAGACCTCCGATCGATCCTTGACAAGGAAGACCCCGAGAAGCCCTCCGAAGAGCTATCCCCTGAAGCCGCGAGCCGTTTTAGGAGCACCCTAGGGAAACTAGGATGGCTTGTGCAAACCAGGGGAGATTTGTGTTATTTTCACTCCATGTTGTCTAGAGGTCAAGCTTGTCCGCGCGCTGTGCATGAGGATTGTATGCGTAAAGTGCTCCGTTGGCTGTTGGAGGTTCCCGACCTTGTTCAGGTCTTTCAAAAGGAATCCAAAGCCCAACCGGGAGCTGCAACCCTTGTTGGATTCAGCGACGCTAATTGGGCCTCTGAGCGCTCTACTGGACGAAAGAGCACCAGCGGAGGAGTGATTTACCTGAATGGGAACTGTATCAAGACTTACTCGAGGCTCCAGCCTATTGTAGCACTCTCCAGTGCGGAGTCTGAGCTTTTCGCTATGGTTGAGATGGCGCGCGAGCTTGTAGGATTGGGGCAGCTTTTGGGCCACCTTTTCGAGAGCGTCGCGCAGCCCCTATACCTGCCTACGGATAGCTCTTCCGCTCGCCAGGTCAGTATGATGTCCGGCTTCCTGAGGAGGATGCGTCATGTGGACCTCCGTCTTTGCTACTTGCAGGATAAGGTCGAGAACGGCGAGATCCTTGTTACACACGTCCCAGGGACGGACAACGTCGCCGACTTGCAAACAAAGAACTTGAGTGTCGCGCAAACTTGGTACCACATAGGACTTACACCTTCCATGTTGGGAAATTGTGCTGTTTCAGGCCACTACTTTTCCTATCCGAGAGTGAAGCAGACGGAACGATCATGGCGACAGGTGCAGCGTGTGTAGCTCCCGACTTTCACTCCTGACAGTGAGGATCACAGCAGCAGGTTCCGCGGGAGTAGCCCCACAGAAGCAGTATCATGGCCTTTGCATGCGAACTCAGGACTGCTACTCAGGTGCAAGACCTGACGGCTGATGACCATGCATCCCCTCCCGATATAACCCCTAAACCCATCCGATCCCCCGATGGTCTACCCATTGATCTGGAGGACTCGCATAGCACTCAGGTTGAAGTCGCTACGGACTGCACCATCCTCACCGATGGCTCTCAACCGGACCTGGGACCTAGACTACCGGATTGGGGGTTTATTCAGGACCCACTGCTTCGGGACATTGAATATCTGGCAGTCAGAATGTTGAATAGACCGCAAACCCCTACCAAACGTGATGTGCTACGGCTGCTAAACATGTACCCCCACAACTTCATGAAGCGCAATGGTTCGGATACACGCTACATTGTAAGTGGGGCCAGCCCTAGGTCCAGAGAACATGTATTGAACTTCAGCACCGAAATGCCATACATGACCATGCTAGTCAACCGGTTTATCCGTACTGTTTCTCCGTGGCACCCATACAGCACGTGGGTTATTCGCAAGGGGTGCGCAAGCAAGGTTCACCGAGACATCCGTAACGGACCCCTGAACTCATGGATCATTGCACTTACTGAATGTAAAGACGGTGAAGGCCTCTGGATTGCGGACCATGTAGGGAGAGTGTATCGTAGCTACCAGAACCGTGACCTTGCCGGAACAGTAGTCAACATCACCTCTCCCCTTTATCTTCAATGCTAGGAAGGTTCTTCATGCGGGACATGTTCTGAACCCTGAATCAGCCAGCAACAGGGTAATCCTTGTAGCCTTCAGTACCCTGGGCGCGGTAACACTTGAACCTGAGGTTAAAGAACAGCTGTTACAGTTAGGTTTTCACATGCCCACCCGAACCCTTTTCTGCGAAACCACACATGGGGCCACCGGCGACGACCCTCCCCGCCTCCGCCAGCTCACCTTAAGACAGGCGCTGGCACTTAGTCCGCGCAAGGCAGACGAACAGGACGTGATCGAAATCCTTGATGAACCTACACAGGACCGCTGACTATGACGACAGGACAACAGGTGCGTGCAATATGCATCTCAACAGATCGTTCATTGTTCAGCCTCCCGGTCAGTCCTTCCTCTCTGCCCTGTCCGTTCAGTCCCCGTCGTCCTGCCTGCCAGCCTGGTCACCATACACCAGTCTGTCCAAAGCCCCACCACTCCCAACCCTCCCCTTGCTGCGACTCCTTGTTTCACTTCGCACTGCCTTTGCTGGACTGTTTTGCATGCTTGAATTGATGAATTGACGTCTGCATGATGCATGTGATGATGGATGGTGATGCCTGACACTGACTCCCTGTTACGAAATACATCGTCATACTCCCTTTCCTAAAACAGCCCGAATCATTGCCCGCTACTAGCTAACCCTAAAAACCACTAACCCTCGTCCTCGCGGCCCATGGCTCATCCTGTGGTGGCACCTGGCCCTCACTGCTGGAAGGTGGTATACCCTGACCTGCCTACGCCTCTGCCTGGTGCAGCACCATGACTGTTATGATTTGGCTCTCTGCATAGAGCTGGTAAGGCACCATGACTGTTCCGCATGTGCTCTCTGCATAGAGCCGATACAAGCAATGCTATGGTTGGTCCCGGGTGAGTCACCCCTCCTGACATTTGCTCTCTGCATAGAGCTGGCAAAAGATGATGCCACGACAACGGTGGTTACCGGGCGCCTCGCCCGCCCCTCCTGGAGGCAGGCATACCCTTGGCTTTATGCATAGAGCTGCTACAAACAAGGCTATGGTTGGCCCAGTGGGCATCACCCCTGCTGACATAGAGATGGCACAGACGAGGCCGCCCTTGAATACCTTGAGATTGCTTTTTGGGGGCTAGGCCACCAAGCTATCCTGCCTACCTGCTTCCATACACCGATGTGCCCGATGTGCACCCGGAAAGACCCACCGAGATGAACGAACAGTGAAGCATACCGACATGCACTACGCCTACGTCGATGTTTGCTGGACTGCTGAGTATGCCGCTGAGAGCTTCCTTTAAGCCCTATGCATGTCTACCGCGAGTACTGAGACACCGCAGCCTGAAACCTGTAGTTTTCACCCAGACCCCTGGTAGTGTACAGCATGCCAACCGGTCCTTTGTTTGAGTACTTTCCCGAACCAAGACCTTGTAAAACCATCTACTTCAGTGATGCTGAGTATTCTGGCACCCGTGCTCAAAGCTAGCAGAGTGAGGCATCCTACCGTCCTTTGTGGCCTTAACTTGCGTTTGTCGTTTTTTGCAATGTAGGATGCTCCACGGGTACTGTACTATACTTCAATCCTCTTGATGGTCTTTCTCGTTTCCCGTCTTGCGTGGCACTACCTTGGCGTTTAGCTGTCTTCTACACGTGGGAAGCGAGATGACTATCTGTAGCACCGACACGCACCAAAGACCTCGTCTGGCTTGTTCCGAGTTGCGAGAGCGTATATATGTGTAATAAGTGTGTATGTGTATGGTTCTGTCTGTAATTATGTATGTATGTCTGTATGTAGGCACGTGCGGAGGGTATTTGCGCGTGGGCCAGTGTAGTGTAAACACAGTGTGCCGTACGTGATTCTGTACAGGTGGCTGATATGCATATGTGCACATACCTACATGAATAAACGGCATACATACATACATAACCTCTAAGGCGAGCCGGCGTCTTCTGCTACGCCTTTCGATGGCGACTGCTCTTCAGGCTGTGCAGGGACCCACTGTTTGATCATCCGCGTCGGAATCCCGAAATCCTAGACTCTCCCACCCCGAAACACTTCTGGACTAGTCGTGGATCCGTGCCTGCTGTGTGCGACTCTGGGGGTCGAATCTGAAGCGTCTCCCAGTGCAGCATTGACGTAGTTATGTCTTGAGGAACGTCTCACCCGTAGTGAC